TAGTAGCAGTAGTAGTAGTAGCCGTCGTAGTACGTGGTAGTCGTAGTAGTAGTAGTTAGTAGTAGGAGTAGTAGTAGTCGTAGTAGTAGTAGGGTCGTAGTCGTAGCTTGTAGTTAGTAGTTCATTAGTAGCAGGTAGTAGTTCATTAGTAGTAGTAGTCAGTAGTAGTAGTAGTAGTAGTAGTTAGTAGTCGTAGTCGTAGTCGTAGTCGTAGTCGTAGTAGTAGTAGTAGTAGTAGTAGTAGTAGTAGTAGTAGTAGTAGTAGTAGTAGTAGTAGTAGACGTAGTAGTTCGGATGGGAGGGCCCGGATCGACGGCCGCGCGCGATGTGCGCTCCGTCGGATTATTGTTGCGCATGTCGCATCGTCGACGACAATAAAGTAAAGGCCATGTTCAAACAAAACGACGATTTCGTATCATTGATTTCTTCTAGTTAGGATGAGAGGGCCTGGATGGGGCCGCTTTCGGCCGGCCAGAGGGGGGAGTATGAGCATATTCGAGTAAGGAATAAGGATAGGAGCAGGATTATGATTATGAGAAAGAGAAGGGGTAGGAGCATGAGGAGGAGGGGGAGGAAGAGGAGGAGGAGGAGGAGGACGAGGAGGAGGAGGAGGAGGACGAGAGGGAGATGGAGAGGGAGATGGAGAGGGAGAGGGAGAGGGAAGAGAGGATTAGGGAGGAGGAGGAGGAGGAACTCGAGGACACGGAGCAGGAACAGGAGTAATTAGGAGTAGGAGTCAAGCTAGCCAGCTCGAGCGAGTCAAGCATGGCATGCCCATTCCCACCCGCCCTGCCACAACCAAAGAAGCAGTGCCGGCGCAACTGGGGGCCGAAATCGAATCGGCAAGTGGTTTGCCACAGCTGATGCAGCCGCGATGGCGGCTACGGATGGGGAATTTCTGGCGCGTCTCACAGTTTGCGCTGGCATTTTAGCACGAGCCGGGGAGGCCCCAGGAAGCCTCAGGAGGCCCCGGGAGGCCTCAGGAGGCCCTAGGAGTTTGCAGGAAAACCCAACGAACCCCAGGAAGCCCCAGAAGGCTTCAGGAGGCCCCAAGAAGCCCCAGGAGGTTTTGGAGGCTCCAGGAAGTTTTCAGAGGTGTCAGGAAGCCCGGGGTCTCCCAGGAACCCCCAGGATGCTTCAGGAGGCCCCAGGAGGATCCACGAGGCCCTGGGGAAGCCCCGGGATGTTCCAGGAGACCTTGGGCGGCCTCAGGGGGCCCCAGGCGCTCGACGAATTGGCGAGCGAAAAATGCGCGCCGCGCCTTAGCGGGAGTGCAACTTTCAGAAAACATGCGCGCGGCGCCAAAGCGGGAACGACATTTTGCCCTGTCGCGCGCGATGTGCACCGCGCCCCATTCCTGTCACGCATTTCGCAAAGCCGACGACAAGAAAGTCCTCGCTGAGAAGAAACATGTCGACGTTGAAATAGTTTTTGATAGGTCGGATGGCCGCTCCCGCTTGGGGTTGCCCCAGACGTCCGCGCGCGATGTGCGCCGCGTCCCGCTCCTGCCACCCATCTCGCATCGTCGACGACAAGACAGGCCACGCTGAGAGAACCAACGATGACTTCGTATAGATTTTGTACAGTCAGGATGGGAGGGCCCGGATAGACGGCCGCGCGCGATGTGCGCCGCGTCGTGTTCCTGCTACGCATTTCGCATCGTCGACGACACGACAGACCATGTTGAGAGAACAACGACGGCTTTGTATTCATTTTGAACAGTTAGGGTGGGAGGGCCCAGATTGACGGCCGCGCGCGATGTGCGCCGCGTCGTATCCTTGCTACACATTTTGTACCGTCAACAACAAGAAACGCAATATTGAGAGAAACACCGAAGACTTCGTATTGATTTTTCCAGTTCGGATGGGAGGACCCCGATGGGACCGCTATCGGCCGGCCAGAGGGGGGAACAAGAGTATATTCGAATAAGGAATAAGGATCGGAGCAGGATTAGGTTATTAGGACGAGGAGGAGGAGGAGGAGGAGGAGGAGGAGGAGGAGGAGGAGGAGGAGATGGAGGAGAGGAGGAGGAGTAGGAGGAGGAGGAGGAGGAGGAGAGGAGGAGGAGAGGAGGAGGAGGGGAGGAAGGAAGAAGGGGCGAGGAGGAGAAAGAGGAGGAGGAGGAGCACGAGGATGAGGAGGAGGAAAGGACTGAGAGGAGTATGAGCAGGAGCAGGATTAGGAGTAGGTAACAGGAGAGGAGCAGGAGGAGGAGGAGGAGGAGGAGGAGGGGGGAGGAGGATTTAGGACGAGGAGGAGGAGGGGGAGGAGGGGGAGGAGGAGGAGGAGGAGGAGGAGGAGGAGGAGGAGGAGGAGGAGGAGGAAGAGGAGGAGGAGGAGGAGTAGGAGCAGGAGTCAAGCTAGCCAGCTCGAGCGAGTCAAGCATGGCATGCCCATTCCCACCCGCCCTCCCACAACCAAAAAATCAGTGCTGGCGCAACTGGAGACCGAAATAAGATCGGCAAGATGGTTTGCCACAGCTGGCATGTCAGCACGAGCCGAGGAGGCCCCAGGAAACCTCACCAGGCCCCAGGAGGCTTCAGGAGGCCCCAGGAGGTTGCAGGAAAACCCAGCGAACCCCAGGAAGCCCCGGCAGGCTTCAGGAGGCCCCAGGAAGCCCCAGGAGGTTCCAGGAGGCTTCAGGAAGCTTTCGGAGGTGTCAGGAAGCCCCGGGGACTCCCAGGAAGCCCCAGGATGCCTCAGGAGGCCCCAGGAGGATCCACGAGGCCCTGGGGAAGCCCCAGTTCCAGGAGACCCTGGGAAACCCCAGGGGGGCCCTAGGCGCCCGACGGATTCGCGAGCGAAAAATGTGCGCCGCGCCTTAGCGGGAGCGCAACTTTCAGAAAGCATGCGCGCGGCGCCGAAGCGAGAGTGATGTTTCGCCCTGTCGCGCGTGATGTGCACCGCGCCCCCATGCCTGCCACGCATTTCGCAAAACCGACGACAAGAAAGCCCTCGCTGAGAAGAAACATGTCGACGTTGTGTTGGTTTTTTTGACAGGTCGGATGGCCTTTCCCGCGTGGGGTTGCCCCAAACGTCCGCGCGCGATGTGCGCCGCGCCCCGTTCCTCCTACGCATCTCGCATCGTCGACGACAAGACAGGCCATGTTGAGAGGAACAACGGAGACTTTGCATTTATTGTTTCGAACCAGGATGGGACCTGGGAGGGCCCAGATTGACGTCCACGCGCGATGAGCGCCGCGTCCCATGCTTGCCACGCATTCCACATTGTCGACGACAAGACGGGCCATGTTGAGAGGAATAACGGAGACGTTGTATTGAATTTTAAGAAATCAGGTTGGGACCACATGGGTGGAGTTGCTATCGGCGGGACAAAGGGGGGAGTAAGAGTATGTTATGATAAGGAATAAGGACGACAGTGGGAGTAGGAGTGGGCGTGGGAGGAGGAGGGGAATGAGGAGCAGGAGGAGGAGGATGAGGAGGAGGAGGAGGAGGCAGAGGGCAAGCTAGGTCGCGCTCGCGTCATATCCTACGTCCTATGCTTCCCTCCCATGCCTCACCATGGCGTAGATCTCCTCTCTACTCGCACACTCGGATGTCGAGCAGGGCAATGATCGCGAGAGGGTGCGCGATGCATCGTAGAACACGGAATAGCAGGACGTAAAAGACCACGGCTGAGCGTAGCATGTCATAGCATGGCGTGGCGTTGCGTAGTGGATAATTGCATCACAGAGCAATGCGACGCAAATAATTGCATCGGACAACGGCACGGAACATAACACCGCACAGCATGTCATGGCATGGCGCCAGGTTCCTTGGAGGGTAAGTGGATCTTATTCGAGAGGTCTGAGCCGGTCTGGAGTCGCGGCTCCATGTCTAGCTCTTGGGGTTCCCCGAAAAGCTCCACGCAAGGCGGGTCTGATAGAGAGCACCCGCTGGCTCTGCTTTCAACATCGCCTTCTCGAAGCAGAAGTGGGCTTCTGCTTGATACTTCCTGAAAGCGACGAAACCCCAAAGTGAGGGGGGGGCTTCTGCGGCCCAAAAGATCAACGAATCGGCACCGAATGTGCAATCACTTCCGATGGCTTCGGGGGTGCATATTCTAGATTTGGGGGCATGGCTCCGCACAGCGGAACACCACATAGCATTGCATTGCATGCCGTGGCATGGCACTGGAAATAATGCCGCCGGCGCTGCAGCGGGAGCACGATTCGGAACGAGCGGAAGCGAAGACTGAAGCCAGCGCTGCAGCGGGAGCACGATTCGGAACGAGCGGAATCCCGAAAATGAGGCCAGCGCTTCAGCGGGAGCAGCATGTGGAAAGAAAACCCCAGCGAAAACCAAACTCCTGGGAGTCCTGTGCGTAAAATAACAGTACGCGGATAGGGGGGGGGGGGGGCGGACCTTTTCCAGACGGAGGGGGAGTGGCATTCAGATTGTGCAATTGTGGAGGTAAGTTTGGCCCACGCCCGAGATCCTGACTCTCGGAGGTCCCTGAGGCCTCCAGAGGCCCAGCAAGAGCCAATGATGTATGACAACTTGTTGAAAACGCCCGAGGGCATCACTCCAACCGGCCTCGGGCGCAAGGGCCTCCCAAGCTCCTCCCTCCCAAGTTCCTCGTTCCTTCCACGCCCAAGTTCCTCCTCCCAAGGGCTCATCTTGAGCAGAAGAGGGGGAGGGTTGGCTTTCGGGCCATAGCTCGGGTCTCTGGCGGCCGTCCGGGGCGATTCCGGCATTCCACCCCAGGCGCCGAAAACCAAGAAAATGTACATTTGAACCGGAATATAGGATCGAGGTCGGATCGGGGAGGGTACACTAGTGTTCTTCGTGCTTGTCGTATGTTCGTGTGCATCCTGGGGAACGGGACCATCGGTGATCTGATGGTTTGGAATGTTTTGGCCGGCGGAGAATCGCATGCTATTGAAGCATATTCTTCTGTCTTGGGTCCGGCTGTCCAGAAAAATGTCGGAGGCGTGAGAGCCTCCATTGGGACGAAAACTTTGGGCGACCGTCCGAAAATTTACGGCACACCGCCAGAGGCGGACTTCTCGCTGGCGGCCTTGCAGTCGCGCAAGGCGCAGGCGGAGTCCATGAGGAGGGCCGCGAGCGCACCCGCGGGCGTCTCCGCCGAGGGGCTCGAGGACTGGAACTCCCATCGGGAGGGCAGGGAGGAAGGGAGGCAGGGAGGAGGTGGGACACCTCCTCGCGTTCGAAGTCCGAGGTTTTCGGACGTCTTCGGTTCCCAGCAGCTGCGCCTCGTCGAGGGCGCTCTGGGGGCGCCTGGATCGTCCCGAACGGCCTCCAGAGGTCCGAGCTACGGCCCAGAAATTGGAAGGGAGGAATCGAGCATCGAACTTCGGCGATCGAGACTTCTGGGCGTTCTTCTACCTCTTGGGTTTTCATGAGGCATCTCGTCGCCACGTGCTGGATATCATTGGGCATCTGGTTAGGACGCACCCTCGAAAAAGCTGGGGATTCGATGGGGGGAACGGAGAGGTTCGCTGAAGTCGGGCATGTCCCTTTACAGGAGGACTATTCAAACTTAGTCCCAAAATCGTATGGAGACGATTTGTCGTGCTCCTCTGATCGTTTTTCTTTGTTATTTTATATCATTGGTTGATCTGTCTTCCAAAATCCGCCTGTAGGAGGACATGTCCGACCCAACGCTTCGCGTGGCTTTCCTGGGGTCGGCGCAGGGTGCCCCTTAGCGGCGCTCGCGGCGCCGCGCCCGGCGCGCCGGGGAAAGGGGGGCCCAGCGCCGACACGGGAAGTTCGCGCGGACTTCCCACGACTTCTGCCTGCACAGTGAGGACGCCGAGAGTAAGGCAGGCGCAGTTCGGGTGCGGAAGGGGCTCGCTGCGCCTGAGGCTCCTCCACGGTGGTGCCTCTGGCGTTGGGTCGGGCACGTCCCTCTACAGGAGGAATCTTCAAAAATAGTCAGAAAATGGTCGGGTGACGATTGTTCGATTCTTTTTTGACTATTGGGGGGCATTTTTTGAATATATAGCATTCGCGAGCCCGCAGCTTGGCGACAGCTTGTGGCAGATGTTGTATCGTCTCTTCCTCCTCCCCCTCCCCCTTCTGCACACTAGCCTTGGGCAATTCAAGAGAGAATGTTGGTAGGCCGCCATTCCCGCAAAGCGGCAATCGGCGTGCGCTGTCGCTTGCCCACGCGCTTCGGCGTAATTATGGCACTTCTGTCTGTCTGTCTGTCTGTCTGTCTGTCTTTTGAATATATATATATATATATATATATATATGTATATATACACATATATATATAGGTACATGTATATATATATATATATATATATATTCGACCCACATCCGCCTGTAGGAGGATAAGCCCGACCTAACGACTCTAGCGCTCCTTGCGCACCCAGACGCTCTTGGGGATCAACAAGGGGGCTCGTTATCGAGGACGCCAGCGGCGCATCACCGGCCGCTCCCTGGGAGTTTACCGAAGTGACGCGCAGCATCGAAAGTCGTGACGCGTGGGTTTTGGGTCGGAGTCCTCATGGACGCTTCTTAGGGTCTCGCGAGAGGGCTCTCGGGGGCCTCTGCGGGGGAGTTTCGGGGCCTCTTGGGGGCCTCCTGGGGGCTTCGTGGGAGCCTCTTGGGGCCCTCTTGGGGCCTTTGGGGCTCTCTTGGGGCCTCTTGGGGGCCTCCCGGGGGCCTATGGGGGCCTCTTGGGACCGAAAGCTCGAAATGTTCATTCGGGTTCCCCTTCTGGGTGCCTTCTTGGGGCTGTCCTGGGGCCCCTCTTGAGCCGTCCCGGGGGCCTCTTGGGCCGTCTTGGGGCCCTTGTGGGCTGTCTTGGAGCTCTCTTGGGGGCTTGTTGGGCCGTCTTGGGGCGATCTCAGGGGCCTCTTAGGCCGTCTTAGAGCATCGGTAAGCCGAAATGGCGAGAACGCGAAAATCCTTCCCAAACCATCGACAAATCGAGGATGTGTATCTCTTGGGGCTCTCTTAAGGGTGCTCTTGCAGGCCTCTTGGGGCGTCTCGGAGGCGTCTTGCTCCGTCTGGAGGCCATCTTGGGCGTCTTGGAACAATATGGAACGGTCTCGAGGCTCTCTTGGACTGCTCGGGACTCTCTTGGACCGGCTTGGGGCGCCCTTGGGTCGTCCCTGGGCCGTTGGAGACCTTGAGGGGGGGGGGGCCGGCGGCAGAGTGGGGCCCCCTCGGAGGGACTTTCAGGAGGTTTTTGACCAGGCACTGGAGAAGGAGGCCAAAGACTGTGCCAGACACTGTGTCAGAGAGGTCTCGCACGGCCCAACCCGCAGGGCGGGAGCGGCCGGATCCGAAGGGCTTCGCACTCTGCCGCTGGTCCCCTCTCTGCCATGACGGGAGACGTCAGGGTTACGTCGGGACGTGCTGGCTTTGTTTTGAAACATTCTGGGAGCATCATGTCGGGACGATCGAAATGGGTACCGAAAGAATGGGTGCAAAGGTCCCGGCATGGCCTGCGAATGATCAAGAAATGGGTCGATTGGGCCATCCAGCAGTGGTTCTGGAAGACAGTATCCATTAGAGAGGGTATTCCCGAGCTCGCTCGCGGGTGTAACTTCCAGCCCCTGCAGTCTCTTCGGGCCTCCTAGACCCTTCGGGTTGACGAGAAGGCCTACCTCAGAAGTTTTGCGCGCGGGGGCCAGTGGCCCCAGCGTAGGCAGTGGCTCGCGCAGTATGCCGCCGACCCGATTCTGTCGCGTTTGCAATGAGTCTCCCGGCACGCTTCTGCATCGTCGCGCGTGCTGCGGGGGCCACGGTGACCTCGCGAAGTAGGACTCTCCGCCTGCATTTCTGGAGTCCGTGGTGAGGGCCTGCGTTGATCCCCTCCCTCTCCTCTTTGCCGAGAGGTTCCTCGTCCCTAAGGCTCCCCTTCCTCCCTCCACCGCCCTTCCTAACAGATGGTTTGGTGGTGGTGCCGCTGAAATGGCGGGCCGCATCTTTCTCGAGGCATTTAGATGGACCAGCATTTGCCACCTCGCTCGCAGGCTGTGGGGCGGGCCATAGTTAGAGTGCAGCCGCACTACCCGTATCGGGTCAACTCCGTCATGCGCGGTTGCCCCACTTTTGCTTGCCAGGGCATCGATCGTGGCGAGCTCGTTGCTTTCTATCGAGCACTGCGGCACGGCATGCAAGGAAGCATTTTTACACGTCTTCGTTCGTATCGATGGGGTCCACCGTCGAGGCAGTGAGTTCTGCTGATCGGCTCGTGCTGCCTGGTCGGAGTTGTGGTTGGATGTGCGGCAGCGCATTGAATGCAGAGGGGGCGCCGCGCGCATGGACCTTCGCAAAGTGAAAGGGCATAGCACCGAGGCTAGTGTTCAGTAGGGAGTATCCAGCAGATCCGAGAAAGAAGGCAACTCGCATGCTGGTGATTGGGCAGTCTGAGTTGCTAGCACGTCTCGGATCCCCACCGCTACGAGAGGCCCGCAAAGCCAAGGGGCTCAGGTCCTCACTCGGTGGGCTCAGTGGATTTCCCGCAGTGGGCCTCGGATGTACGACGTGGATTGTGACCATGTCTCCGCGAAGCAGCGCAAAGTCCGCTGTGCATCCAGAGTCGGTTCCACCGTGCCCGCACTTTCTGTCTTGCCGCCATTGCCTGAGGCGCCCCGCAGCCTTTCTCAGGCCGGCCTTGCTTCAGTGCGCGTGCAGCTCGCTGAGGCGCGAGCGCACGTCATGCATCCGTTCGTTGTGGTGGGGGACGGGGGTCGGAGGTTGTGGTGTACGGTGTGTGTGTGTGTTTGTGTGTGTGCGTGTGTGTGTGTTGTGCGTGGGCTGGGAGGGGTCAAGATCTCTGCGAATCTCTCGCGAGGATGCCTCGGCCCACCTATCCCAAACTCTCGGGGGGCTCGAGCCCTTGCGGGTCTCGCGAAAGCGCCAGCGCGCTTCCAAGTCAATCATGTCTGGAGGCTGCGCTTGTTGAGCCCCTTCCGCACCGCCGAAGTCACTCGGGCCGGAGTCGTTTAGCTTGTGCGTGTGCTTGCGCGTGCGCGCGTCGTGCGCGCGCGCGCGTCAGGCACCCCGCCCCAGGGGGAAGGCGCGCACGTGGGCTGGCCTCGAAGGCGGCCCTTCTTTGCGCTGTGGGCTCGCCTCGAAGGCGGCATTTCGAGCGCCACTCGGTGCTTGATCGAGTGGCCCGTGGATGGCGCCACCCGCCTCTGACCTCGGCCATGCAGTGGGGCAAGTTGCATGTGGCGCGGACGAACCGCGGAGGAAGAAGTGGAGGGCTGTGTCGAGGAGGTGGAAGAAGAACAGGAGCAGGAGAATAATTAAGAGGATGAGGAGGAAAAGGAGGAAAAGGAGGAGAAGGTGGAGGAAGAGGAGGAGGAGGAGGAAAAGGAGGAAAAGGAGGAGGAAAAGGAGGAGAAGGAGGAAAAGTGAAGAGGAGGAAGAGGAGGAGGAGGAAGCCAGATGGTTTCGAGGGCCCGTTCGAAGGCATTGTTTAGGGGACGCCTCGAGCGAGACGCTGGTTTTCAAACGAAAGTGTTAGACACCCTGGGCGTTTGTCAATGCTTTCGCTTCCTTGGCCATATTGGAGACCATCCGAGATCGCTCCGGAAAGATGCCTTGAAGGAGCTTTTGGCGTATCCCAGTTGTTCGAGGATCGGGCAGCATTGGATGCATACCTTCCCGTGACACTGAGGGCGGGATTGCTTCCATACCCGACGCTCAGCGAGCTCCCTTGGGGCACGTCTTCAGGTCGGGGCGTAGACTCTTTCCTCCTCTCCTTCGGCGGCGAAGACCAACCACTGCGGTCGCCGCCGCCGTCGCCGCCGTCGTAAATTGCTGCCGCGCCGCAGCCGCCGTCGCCGCCCTCCGCGTCGGGGCGGTCTCTTGCGGTGCCTTGGCCTCCGCGGGGAGGACGACCGCGGACGCCCGCCGAGGCTGGAGCCGGGCGGCAGCCGGCCGAACCACACCCGCCTGTCCTACGGCTTCTCGAGGGAGGCCGACTCAAGCATGCCGTCTGGCGCTCAGGATCGGCGATTTGGATCCTTCGCGTGATGCGAATCGGAGGAGGAGGAGTAGAGGAGGAGGGTATAAGGAGGAGGAAGAGGAGGGGGATTCGGTGGGGAGGGGGGAACTTCACATCGCGTGACGAAATCCTTCTGCCTACAATATGCCCCCCCCCTGCCCCAGTGTGTTGCTGCTCCGCGGGTCGCGGCGTCCCTCGGGGAGGACAGAGACAGTCCAAACGATGAGATAAAGACCACTCTTGCCCCAGGAGGGCCTCTTGTTTTCGGGCCGTTCCCTAACCTCCTCCTCCTCCTCCTCCTCCTCCTCATCCTCCTCCCGAGGCACGCCGTGGCCAGAACAGCCCCTCTGTTCCTCTTTCGGCGTTCCTCAAGGTAGCACGATAACTGTAGCCTCCTCCTCGTCTTTCGGGCAGTGCCAGGGTGGGTCACCACCAGGGGTGCCACTACCTCCTCCTGGAAATCATGATCGATGGCCGAGGAGGCGGAGGGAGCATGAGGATCGAGGCGGCTTTTCACGTTTCGGGGCGTCTTTGGGGGTCCTGGGTGTTCTGGGGAGGCAAGGAGGACCCGTTTGGTTGGAGGAGCTGGTGACCCCTTGATGGTCAGGAAATTTGGGGCTTAGCGCGTCGCATCGCCAGATTCTGGCCCACCACGCTTCGGCGCGACACGCTATCCCGGTCCCCATGCATCAACGTCCCGAACTTGTCGCAGCCTCCCATTCCGCGCAGCGGAGCGCACGCCATCCGCTTGCGAGGCACAGCGTGTTGCCAGGTCCGCCGCCGCGACACGCTGAGCAACAAACCCTGTCCATCTTAGGGGTACACCGTGGTATTGCCTGGGCCTTCCAGGCCTCCTTTTGCTCCTGGGCTTACGGAGGTGCCCGAAGGGCTGCCATCTGGCGGGCCTCGGCGTCCCCCGGTGGATGGCAGATGCCTTTGTGATCGTCTTTCCCTCCTCCCCCCCTTCTGGGTTTACGGATGTGCCCAGAGGTCCTTCGGCGCGGCCGTTGGACATGGACATTTCCCACCCCCAGGGAGGCTGGAAGGTATCCACGTCCAACTCCGCAAGTTCCTGGGGGGGCACATCGGTGAGTATGTATAAATCCTTGGCTGGAGGAGGGAGTGAGAGAGGGGGTCAGGAGTACTACTTCCCTGACTGTGGTTGGTCAGCGGGGTCCGATCGGATCGCCGGCCCGCCAATCGGTCAGGAGCGGAGCGGCCGGTCGGGCTGCCGATGGGCAAAGCGCTCTCCCAGCGACAGCTCTCGGGAGGCCCCCGGTGGTATTGATCGGCCCTGCTGAGTCAGAGTCAGACCGTGGGTCGGCGTGTGATCAGCGGGATGCCTCCTCCTCCTGCTCCTCCTCACCCTTCTCCTCCTCCTCCTCTTCCTCCTCCTCCTCCTCCTCCTCACACCCTCCTTCCGTAGCCATTTTGGCTCAAGGCCAAAATGGTGTCCATTTCATTGCCTTCGCGGGGTAGGCTCCCACAGTGCTTCGATCAGCTCTCGGCGCCACTGCACGGGCCCTGCGCCAGCCCTCGCCCCTCCATATCTAAGTCCCGCGCGGCCGCGCCCGCGGGCATTCCATATTCAGCGCTGCGGCGCATCGGGCACGCCGTGCTCTTTCTTGTGGTGCAGCAGCAGACGGTGGCGTGCTCACTCGCCCCGCTCCTGTACGTGCGGCAGGTGGTACCCTCGACCTCACGGCTCGCTGGCATAAAATTGGACCCGCTCAGTGGCAGCAGACTGGCAACAGTTCCCTCGCAGCTGAAGACATGGGAGAATCCAGTTCCAGTACTTCCTCGTCCCGTGGACCTCGCCGACGTCATCAAGCTACCCGTGATCGACGACGGGATAACAGTGACTCCAAGAGTCGCAGCGGCCCCGACAACAGTGCTGAGCGCCGCCATCGTCGACGCCGAGACCGCCGCGAACATCGGGGAGACGACCGCGGGGCTGACGACAAGGATCGGGAACAGGACCGAATACCTCGCAGGGACGATCGGGAAGATAGAGAGAACGGTTCAGGTGCACGCGTCGCTCGGAGATCTGGACCTTCGGCAGCACGCAAGGACACGGTTGCTGAACGAGACCCTTGGCAAGCGGCCGCGGGTTCTATGCGATGTGCTGGAGCTAGTGGGGGACCTGCTCGAACTCATGAGCCGCAGCACTACCCACTTTCGCCGCGAGCTGCGCAACAAGTGCTACGCGACATGGAGCTCATGCCTACATTTCCTGACGGTGAATTACCTGCAGCAGGCACGCCTGTCGGTGGACTTCCTACCCCACGCGCTGAAGATGACCCCCCTCCTGCTCATGGTGATCTGGCTAGTCTTGAGCAAAGGCTGGCGACACTGGGTAAAGAACAGATTGCATCGGCGACGGAACAACTCATGGCGACGGCGAATTCCCTCATTGCAAAGCAGCAGCAAGCCTTCAGCGCACAGGTGGCAGAATTCTTGGCAGTCAGCAAACAAAACGCCGCTCACCTCGAAGTACATGACAAAGGCATCCATGAGCTCCAGGCCAGAGCTGACAAAGTGGAAGCAGATCAGGCCAAGATGCGGCAGCAGATCAGCGCAATGGAACAGACACTGGCAATGGCGGAGGCTGCCGTCCCCTTCGATGTTCAGAAGCTCGCCACATGGGACCGCGTCCCGGACCCCACAGTATTCAGCATCGGCGCCCCCAGGGCGATTGCACCAGCTGCCATCAAAGCAGCGCTCGCGGAGTGGATTCAGGCGTCGGGTGTTCCAGTGGACCAGCTTATTCTTCACGGTGATGTACCTCAGCGGCGATTTCATATGCAAGTTCAAGGTGGAGCAGCAGCACATGGGCGAGCCCTCGCTCTCTCTCGTGCCCTCAAGACGTCAACTGGCTTCCGCACCTTCAGCGGGTTTGACACCGGTGGGGTCAACACGCCCATCTATGTCAGCGGAGACAAGAGCCCCAAGCAGGTCAGACTCGAACTTCAGACCAAGCGTTTGCAGCGCATCATTCAGGACGCATACCACGATCACCACATCGGCGCCCAGAGAAGCAAGGGCATTGTCACCATTGATGCAGTGCCGCTCGTCGTTGTCGAAGTCAAGGGCCCTGATGAACCATCCAAGCTACGCTGGGACATGCCAATCCTCGCACGATTCAAGATTGACAAACAACCTCTGGTGGCTGCATTTGGACAGGCATTCGCGAGCGTGGACACATCTTCGTGGTCTATTTAGCAGAAGGTGGTCACCCTGGTCAACATCACCGTCAATGCGCAATGGTACCATCATATCGTGGAATGCCAGGAGTTTGATTTGCTATCGTCCAAGGCGCCGCAAAGCCAAGATGAACAAACTTGTCTCGTTCATGCGTAAGAAAGCGGTTATCTTATTGCAGGAATGCCGTGGAACACTACCTAAATTGCAGGCGGCCCTCGCTACGTATCCATACCCTTACAAGATCTTCTACAATCACCTCTCGCAGAAGGCGGGAGGCACAGCATTCTTGGTGCCAATGGCAGATCGTGACCAGGAGGACCCTCAGGTGTTCTTTGACCATCAGATATTGGCCGCGGGAAGGGTGGCCCTTCTCACAATACACAACGCCGCCGACAACTTCACGATGAAGATCATGAACGTACACAACTTCGAGTTGGACATCATTCCCCAGACCAAGATTGCGCACACATGGAAGGACATGGTTCAATGGAATATTGAGAACCCTGTTACTAGAGCGTTTGTGGCTGCTGGAGATTTCAATGTCAAGTCAGGTCCTACACGTAGCTACACCGATCCTGTTTCTCAGACATTCTCGCCAGGAACGCTGCCTGCTGAGACGGCTCGGGGCACTCAACCTTTGCAAGCGTTCTGGGAAAGACTCTTTGCGATGGTTACGGAGATCTCCACGGACTGCCCTACACATTACTGCAGAGATACGTCCACGGCGGCTACACTGGATAGGTTCTTCATTGCCACCCCAGCGTACTACCTGCTCGACGTTGAGGTGATCGCGGAGGTGGATATTGATGCTGCCGCCATCTCGGACTCCAGGCTCAGCGACCACACGCCGATCACCCTGCATCTTAGGGATCGAGCCCGCCAGAGTGAACAGACAGGCATACCAGAGCACGTCCTTCGAGATCCGCGCTATGGTGAAATTCTCGGTCAGCTTCTCGATGCTGCACAACTACATCGATTTCCTGCGGTCTACCAGTGGAGATGCATGAAGGACTTCATGTCTGAGGCGGCACGCCAAGTCCGCAATGAGTTGCAGCGCATGCCGATTTCCGCCAAGGACCCTCGTGCCAAGGGGGGGCGCCTTATCACGCTCCGAGCTATCTCACGATGTGTCTGGCGCAACGATGTTGGCACTGCCTACAAGCTGATGGCCACCACGGCCGACGGCGAGCGCTTCCTGACCGTCTCCAACGGCTGCGTCGAGCTCGGCGAGCGGCAGGAGTTCGGCGCCTTGATGCGTGCCATCAACTACGACTACCAGATGAGGGAGGCCAGGCTTGCCGAAAGCAGGGCATCCAAGGGGGACGGAGCGGTGATCGAGGATGAGAGACGAGCGGCACGGATGCATAAGCGACGAGCGTCATTGTGGGCCCCCAAGACCCGTCGTCTCGTTCTTGCGGGGATAAAACCCGAGAGCCTTCAGCACTCACCAGTCGCCCGTGACCCCGAAAAGATCGCCATCGCCCTGACCTCCCACTGGAAGCCCATCTTCGGTGCGAAACTAGTCCAGGAGGAGCCCCTTCAGGAGTATCTTGATCGAGTTGCCCCACCGCGTCCCCTTCTACCTCTTAGACTTCCAACAGAAGGTGATTTAGGACGTGCTCTCAGATGTGCTCGACGTTCGGCCCCTGGACCCGACCAGCTTTCGTACACAGCATGGAAAGCTCGCCCAGAACAACTAACAGTGCTACACAATCTCATGACTTATCTGTTTGGAGGCCACGCAGTCCCCATGGAGCTCAACGACAGCCTCTTCGCGTTTCTCCCTAAAGGTTCGGAGCCCGAAGATGCCCAAGGATGTATACGGTCACCTGCAAAGGTCCGTCCTCTTAGCCTCAGGAACACGGACACAAAGATAATGGCATCTGCTGCTAACTTTCAGATCCGTCAGGTTGCCCAACAGAGCGCCCATGAGTCCCAACAAGGTTTCATCCCAGGCCGTAACTTCCTGTCGAATATCGTCACGCTGGATGCCGAGGCCCGAAAGGCGAGCATCAACCCAGAGGCTGCCCAGGACCTTCCGATCTTCGCCGCCTACGATGTGGAGGCGGCCTTCCCGTCCCTCGGCCATCAGTGGCTGTTCGAGATTCTGAGTAGGGCTGGGCTCCCGACAGGCTTCCTCCACTTCATTCGTGCCCTCTACTTCCTCCCTAGAGGCTTCGCTCGGATCCAAAATCAGATCGTCTTTTTATTTCATCTTTGCTCTGGAGTTCTCCAGGGCTGCCCCTTGTCTGGCTCGCTATGGGCATTGGCAATGGATCCGATCCTTAGATGCCTTCATGCTGCCACGCAGCTCCCGAGGGCGAGGCACCACAAGGGCTCTTTGGGCGGGTGTGCGGACGACGTGGGGATGGTGATGCCTCGCCTTCAGGACCTGGTCCCTGTGGCCCAAGTTTTTCGGGACGTCGAGCGTTTTGCGTGCCTCAGGCTTCAAGGAGCCAAATGCGTCCTGGTCCCCCTTTGGGCCGAATGCACGCCTGAAATCCAGGACGCGGTCCGAAGTGAGCTCCGTCGGTTGATTCCTGAATGGGCCAACTTTAAAATCGCTGGCCACACGACTTATCTTGGGGTCGAAATGGGTCCCGAGGCAATTCTCAGTATGATTTGGTCCCCAGCAGCGGAGAAATGGTGGACGCGTACAGTTGCGCTACCACACTCAGGGGCTGCGCCGTCTGTTCTGTCAATGTTGTACAACACGACTGCCCTCTCGACCCTGTCGTATCTTGCCCAGCTCTTTCCGATCCCCGCCATGATTCGTAAGCTAGAGCATCAGGCATTGCACAAGCTGCTCAGGCTCCCGCCGAACAGCCTCAGCCTCGCCGATCTGAATGCCCTCCCATCGTTTTTAGCCATTGCCCCGTCCTCTGTCCAGCTGCTTGGCTGGGCTAGTGCATGGCGTGCATCATTTCGCACACTGAATCATGTTTGGCAGAGAGCGTTGTCTAGCCTGAAGCAGCATGCGCAGGACAATGCTACCATCGTTCGCATTATTGCAGGAAAGTTCTCGGCACCGTGCTGGCGGCGACCATTTTCAATCGCCCAATTTCTAGAACGTTCAAGGTTGCCGCCTCCTCGCTTCCCTAATGCTGCTGGGTGGCGAGATGCATTTCGAGCAGCGCGCGAGCACACCGCACGTGCGGAACAGGAAGCCCTTCGCCCTCATCCGCAGAGGATATTTGCACGCACGCTCCGCCCATTTGCCTTTCCCGATTCCTTTCACACCACTCTTGGCAAGAGGCTGCTCGCTTGGCAAGTGGAGATTCCTGGGGGGCTGAGGTCGGTCGTTGGGAGGTGGGCTGCATGCAAAACTTGCCTTGCGACCCTCAAGCCGTCCTGGCAGTGGAGCATTTTCAAAACGCTGTGTGGCGCGTGGACGACCACCCACAGACTCCATATCGGGCACCCCCCAACCAGCTGCGTCTGGGGGTGCACTGCCCCAGATGCGATATCGCACTATTTGAACTGCCCAAGATTATATTATCATTGCGCCTGCCACCCAGCATGGGCACGCAGGCACTTTCCAGCCAGCCCGCTCACTCTCCTAGGCCTCGGGGAAGAGAGCGATTATCAGATCGAAGGCGCCGAGCTCAGTCGAGCCGAGTGCCTTAAGGCGACAGCACTTGCCTTCCAGATGTACCATAAAGCGCCGAGGGCGCAAACTATGACATTGCAGCAGGCCACCGACATTCGAGGTGCCGCAGAGTTGGCACTCGAAAGATAAGCACGTGCCCTCTTCTTTATTCGTGTTGGGCCGGTGTGAATATCAGGGGTGGGGGTCACATTCATAACCTAGCTTGCTGTGCGATCGAGGGCTCTCTCGCACAGCGCCGCGTGCACTCTCAATCTCTCGGAGGGGCTGGGGCAGGACGGGCATGGGTTGGATGTGGGATTGACAGAGGCACCAGAGGCGTTGGCATGTTGCGGTCGATGACTCTCCCGCAGTGCCCTGCGCCTCTCGGCTCATTCTTTAGGGGGGTGGGGCCTGTCATGCAATGACAGGCTCTGTCCTTCCACCCTCTTTTTTTTGCCCTCGTTCGCGAGGCGAATCTCCTCACATCTGGTCTGCTGCGAGCGCCATTTTTTGCGCGGGCCCTCCTGGTGGCGGAAGTGGCAACGGGTTGCGACGCCCTTCGGGAGGCCGAAAATGAACCCAAGCGCCACCCAGCTGGGACCCGCTCTCCCTCTGTCGATGCGTTCGCGTCGACCGAGGTCGAGGTTGGCGGTCGGACGGACCTTCTTGGTTACGTCGTCTCCTCCTCACACCCTCCTTCCCACCATTGCCACCCTCGTCGTCGCCGTCGTCGCCATCTTCCTCCTCATTTGCCTCCTCACTTCGGCGCCGAGGCGGGTATTCTAAGTTCTGGGTTTCAACTGTGCACGTTCCGCCTGAACTGTGTGTGATTATACGGGCCCCAGGGTCGCCGCAGTGTCACATTGTTCTCAGGCTGGTCCCCACGTGTTCGTTTGTTTGCCGTCACGGCGTCTTTCCTCTTCCTCTTGGTTCTCCTCCTCATCCCCCATTTCGTGCTCCTATTCCGATCCTCTTCATTCACAGAGACTTTCGCACTCGAGTGCACATCCATAATTGAGAGCCCCAGAGGCCGCAGGTATCACTGGTATGTAAATTAGAAGAGGTGCGTCGCTTGCGGTACACCTGCCATATCATTCCAGGTCTTTAGTATGCCATGCTTGTGATGTCAGTCAGTGGTCACGTCTGGTTCATATGGAGAGGCGCGCTTGTGTGAAGCGCATCTTACGCCTGCACCTCCTCGCCGCGATGGCTGCACCAGGGTGGGCCCTGGAAATCGAGCACACGACGGAGCAGCCTGATGTCGACGTGGCGGACGTCTTCGCCGCGAATGCTCGCAGGTGCCCCTGCCGCCGAAGGAGATGGGAGCTGCGCGCAAGCCCAGGAAGCGCTACCTGCGAGTCCCTGCGCAGGAGCAGCTGGCCCGAAGCTGCGCGCAAGCCCCGAGGGGAAGCCCTGCCCTGCGAGCTCCGCAGACGCCTCGACCCGCCGGCCTCCCAGAAGAAGCCCGAGGAGCGCGAGGACGGTGCGCCGCCCGCCGCTTTCTCGGCACACTCGCTCTCTGGACACATTCGCGTCTGCGTCTGCCTCTGGTCGTTCCGCCGCCCCCTCTTTCCTCAGCAGGCCTCATCTGGGGTGAGCTGAGGGCCTCTCTGGGGGTCTGTCGCCTCGTCCCGTCCCCGTCTGGATTGTCGCCGCATCCCGATGAGCAGCGAACCAGAGCTGGATCGGGGACACTGTGCGGCGGTGCACCGCGATTCTTGTGCACGGTTCGTTTTTGTGCGGAGGGTCTCTTCTCTGCCCTCCCCTTCCCCTCTCCCGCGCGGTGCCCAAAGTCTGCTCTGCGTAGTCGGTTGTGCCTCGGCAGCTTTCCCATGCAGTTGCATGGTACGCTCCCGGCCCTCGGGGTCATCATAAGCCTAAGGGTGTCATGATCGTCTTCGCCATTTTCCAGCACGCGTGCGAATTGCACCAGCGGCCGCACTGAAGAAAGAAAGAGAAAACATGTCGGCGACCGTTCCCTGGAGGCGAGCTGCTGGTGGAGCGCTTGCGGCGAACAGCGCACTCGGCGCCCCGCCCGCCGGGGGAACCGGTGCGGATGGCGGCCCGCAGAGGAGGCGCGGTTGACGGCGACCCGGCGCCGAGCGCGCGAGCCGCGGAGGCCGCGGAGGAGGGGAAATCGGGCACGCCGCCGCACGCGGTGGGCACGCAGCTCGTGGGCAGAAGGCTGCGAGACGTCACGGGCGCGCTCGAGGCGGGGCCGGCGCGTTGGGGTGCGCAGCAAGGGGAAAAGGCCACCTGGTGTGTCCATCTTCTGAGATGCACGTGTTCAGACTGGTGGGTGATGTCTTAGAGCGTCCCAAGCACCCAGGCGTTCAATATGTGTATATATATGTATATATATGAGGGCACAAGCCTGTGGTGCAAGGAGTGGCCCTTCGATCATCAGGTGGAGCGCCTGCGTGACCAGGCCATCCAGCTCGGGCTGATAACATATTTGATGCAAATCCCCAGAATAATCTTCACGTTCACCTGAAGAAGCCAGGTTTGATGGACGCCTCCTCCAAGCTGTCGCTTTTGTAGAGAACGCGAGCGCGGTTCCCCCCGCGAGAAGCGTTGGCCGAGGTCGGGGCCAAGTGTGCCATCGGAGCTTTGAACGTCGAGGGTGTATGTTCTGGTGATTGACCATTGCCTGCTGGTGTTTTCTTTGCAAGCAACACCGGCTATTGGCAGCCCTGCGTGCCTCCACGACGTTTTACTGTGACCCCCGTCACCTCCTCGTCCTCCTCATCAGTGTAATCACTATCCTGCTTGTCCTCGCCCTCCTTGGCATCGTCCCGCTCCTCCTCCCCATCGTTCCAGTCCTTCTTATCCTCTTCGTACTCATTCCCCTCCGTTGTCCCCCTTCCCTTTCGCCTCATACTCCTCTTACGTCGTTCTCGTCCTCGTCCTTCCTCATATTTTTCCTTTTTTATCCCAGTCCTGCTCCTCATACTTCATTGCTCACTCCGCGTCATCATGGATCGGGAGGGGCGATTCCAAGGACCCGCTTGCTGCGCGGCTCGACGAGGCTCTAGAAAGAAGGGCCGCGCAGTTTTATCCAGTGCCCAAAGGGCTACGGTCCAATTGTTGTCGTCCTCCTTCTCACGCCATTCCTCCACGTCCTCCCCGACATCAATCACCCTTGCCTTGTTCCTCATCCGGCTGCGTGCGGCAAACCCTTCACCCGCGCCAGCACAGCATCGAATGCGTGCAGGTTTTTTCCACTGAGGTCTCCGACCAGGCTCGATAGAACTAGGCTCCGCAGAAGGGCCGGCCAGGAAGCGGCGCAGCTGTCACGTTGCATGGTTGTTGCTTTGCGTCTGAGGGCCTTCTTGGAGGTGTCATGGAGGCTCATTGGGGCCTGGGCATCTCTCGAGTCTCTTGGGAGCCATCTCGGGCGCGATGGCGCGGCCGAGCTCTCCCGAAGATGCTCTGGTCCACCAGTTTGGCGGCGACGGGGCGGGTCTTGGAACCCCTCTTGGGGCTTCCTGGGTGTTCCTGAAGCTCTGCGAAGCTTTCCTGGAGCGATCTGGGTCGGCTTCGAGTGGGACGCCGCGCACCAAACTGTGTCGTTCCAGTCAGGACGTCGCCTCAAACGCGTCTCTCCTTCCGGCAGAAGGCCGGGTCGAAGCTGGCGGAAGGCCAGCGGGGGCAACATGGCGGCGGGTCCGCCCGGGAAAGGTAGTGGCGGGAGGTGCCCATCGTCTCTTCGATCTTTTCATTTTTCTATCACCAAGGATGTGCTGTTACGATCCTCAAGATCCAGCACATGGTGATAGAAAATGAAATTAGATCGAAAGAGACAGGACGCTACATTGAAGATCGTATCAACCGATGACCGCACAAACATAAAAGAAGCGGTCATGATACGATCGTAGCGTCCTAATCTTCTTTTGGACTGAGCCAGCTCTTGGGACTCGGGATCTGGGGCGCGGCGGCCGCCCTGCCTCGTCCAACCGGCCGGCGGCGAGCGCGGGGGGGGGAAGCGAGCAGGGCCTTCTCGGAAGGCTCGCAAGTCCCCCAGCCTTCTGAGAAGTCTTCTGAGCTTCCCCCGAAGACGCAGCAAACTTCTCAGAAGGCGCGAGACCCTCTCAGAAGCCTCTCCTTCTCACTCCTCCCCTCGCTCGCCGCCAAACTTGCGCGGGCGCATCCTGCCGCCGCGTGCTCGATTCGCTTCGGGATTTCGCGCACCGGAGCAGCGGGGCCTTGCGCGGATGGCCATTTGCTCCCAAGCCTCCTAGATGGGGTCAGAGTAGCAGAGGTCCGCGCAGATCTCCTGGATCGGAACAGCACCTCCCGCCCTGGCGTGGCAGGGGCGCGCCAGGGGCGGCTTTGGAGGCGCCGCCTGGGGGGGGTCCAGCGCCGATCCAGGAGCTACGTGCGGACCTCCAGAATTTTAGCTCTTTGGCGGCAAATCATGAGAGCCTAGTATACCCTCCTGATTCCGTCGTCAGCGTCGGTTCGCGTTGACTAGCGGGTAGCGTCTGGGAGTCGACGAGATAGCGCCAATTTAGCGTCAGTAGCGTCGATTAGCGTCGATCTAGCGTCGATTAGCGCGGACTAGCGTCGATTGGCGTCGATTCGCAAGAGCCGGGAAGATGGCATGGGAGGGCCCCATGAGTTGCCATCGAATATCTCTATGGTTGTTTTCCCCATCCACGCTCCAACGTCATGGGAGGGGCGCGGTACTTGGAGGGGCATTCTGACACGCTCGAGCCGAGGCCAATTTCGGCACGTTCTTCACACGTTTCGTGTCCCATAGCGTGCTCCCCTTCTCGCCCAGCTGGTGCGCTGACACGGCGCTGCCGCGCCCATTCCGCCCCACCCACCCCCCGCCTCCGCCCCCGCCTCCGCCCCCGCCTCCGCTCCCGCCTCCGCCCCCGCCTCCCCCACACTCACCCACACTCACCCACACACCCCCACACACACACACACATTCTTTTTTGGAGCGTCGCGGCCCGGGCCAAGCCGCATGGCGTCCGGAAGTCCCGCGGGCGGGCCCGCGCCGGCGAAGAGGGAAGAGAGTCCATTGAGGCCCTTGAGGGGCAGCGGCGGGGCAGAGGGAGCAGCGGCCCCGGCGCGGGGGCGCCGGCAGTGGGGGGGAGGGGCGGGGCGGCAGTGGGGCCGCGGGGGGTCGCCGGGGGTCGCCGGGGGCCAGCAGGCGCGCCAAACGGGCGGCCAGGGAGCGGCAAGGCGGCGGGATCGGCGGCTGCCAACCGGGCAGCCGCCAGGTGGTGAGCAAGCCGCAAGCCGCCCAGCGGATGGCGGGGGTGGAGGCAGCGGGGGCAACACGAGCGCTGCCGAGATTGCCGCAGCGGGAGGGGGGGGCACTGGGCGCGAGGCGGTGCGCCCACGCGGCGGGCGATCGGCACGACGCGGGCGTTGTCGATGATCAGCCGACCGAAATTTGGTTCAGCCAAGACTGAGGCGCGCCGCTGCAAGGCGGGACGCCAAGCAGTGCCAGGTGGAGCGGCGAGGGAACAAAAAGATGCGGCGCAGAGCGCGGCTGCGCGCGGGCTCGAGGGAGGGACCCGCGGAGGCGCGGAGCGCCGAGTGCAGCCAGTCGCACGGGTGAGGCGGCGCGTCCGATGGGCGGCCGGACTGCAAAAGAGAGGCGGGCGATCAGCACGGCATTCGGGCCCCCGGGGGCCAAAAAAAGAAAAAAAAAAAAAAAAACAAAAAAATATATATATATTATATATATATATACATACATATATATATATATACACATCCACCGCCCGCCGGGGCACCATCACGTCGGTTCCCGGGCGGTGGATGTGGGCAAATCCCTGCCTCAGCAAGACAGGGCGGGGGGGAAGGGCCGGAGAGCGCGCCAGGGCCTCGGCGGCGCGCCGAGGCCCGCGGCCGACGAGCCTCTCCGTGAAGCCGTCCTCCGGCAAGCCGCCGGCCAGGCGAGGCAGGGCTTCGCCAAGCCGCGGGCGGGCCACAGCGGCATGGCAGCGCGTCAGAGGCTCACCACCCACCAAACCACCCCAACCCAACCCGAAGGCCCAAATTTATCCTCGATTTCCAGTGGGGGGGGGGTCGGGGAACGTTGAAAAAACACATGGTATCCGTACCCCCCCCAACCCGAAATTCGGGTCAAATTCGGGTCTTCGGGTTGGGTTGGGGTGGTCTGGTAGGTAGTCAGAGGCGGAGCATGAGCCGGCCACGCGCAGAGGGGGGTGGGGGGGCGGGGGGAAGGCTTCTCCGAAGCACCCCTGCTCATTAGAAGCGGCGGGCCTCGTCCGTAGGGGCAGGGCCCGCGCCTTCTGAGGAGGAGCCTCCTTCCAAGAAGCCTTCCCCCCTCCCCCCCACTCCCTTGTGCGCGCCGCCAGATGGGCGTCGGCAGCGCCGGTGCGGGTGGCCGAGGGAAAAAGGGCGCGCTGGGGTGAGGCGGAGCGCGGAGCGCCAAGGCCCAGCAGGCAGCCCAGGCTGAGGGGGCCCCAGAAAACGACGCGAAGATCGGGACAAAATCGGATCGGGATAACTCGAAATCTCTGAGAATCGGCGGGTTGGAGGATGTATTGGGCGCCGCGGCCGCTCCAGAGCGTTCCGGAACGCTCTGAGAGCGCTCCGGAACGCTCTGGAGCGATTTATGCCGATCCTAGCCCTGTTTTACCCCACGGGCGGAGGAGTGGCGGGGCGGAGCGGGCGGGGAGAGCCCGGAGCGTCGCCGCACACTGGCGGCGGGCGAGCGCCAGGGCGGGCCAGCGAGTGGGCAAGACCACATTCGACCTGGCCGTGTCGAGCCGGTGACTCACCACTGAAGGAAGGTTTTTTCCGTAATGCCACCACCTCAGGTGATTGGCAACCCTCGATTCCAGCTGGTGTTGAGGATGAAGAAATGGTCGGACAACCAGCTACGTATGCTCAGCTAATAAAGACGAAAAGGATGAGGAGTTCTTAAATGCGCCTAAACCACCAGAAAGTATGTTCAATCGCCCCAGATCAAATGCTTCAGGCTTGGCGGGACGGGACCACGACGCCAGCCCGTCACGAAAGAGTCGCAGTCGAGCAGGAGGGACTCATAGCTCACGATGCGCACGGTTCTCTGGCCAGTCGTTGTAGGCCTCCAGGAAGGCCCTGTAGATCTGTCTAGGGGTGGGGTCACCAGGCGGGGGCTTTGTGGGCGAGCCGAGGCTCTCTGCGTGCCCCATGTGGGACTGTTGTTTACTTTTTGTCAGAGCCGTCGTCATGTGCGAACGGGTCATCATCAAAACCAGCCGAGGCAAAGCTGAAGAATGCGCCTCTGACGCACACAAAACAAACAAACAAAAAACATGTTTCTTGACTCCTAGGGAGCTCCACTCACTGGTCCAGCGGGTGCGTCTACATGGCGCCGCGGCGCCCATGCCAGCACGACCATCAAACGTTGCGTGCCCGATGTAGTTCTCCAGTTGTGGCCCCAGCGGATGCGTACACATGACGCTGCCGTGCCAATTTCGGCTTGCCCCTCACACGTTTCGCGTCCCATGAGAAGCCCCACTTGCTGCCCCACGGCAAACACGCCGTCTAGGCGCGGTCGTTTCTTGTCATTGTCTTGTCCTCTCCAGAGGGGGCTCCAACGCTCCAACTATTGCCCCAGTGGTGTTGTCAATATTGCATCCCCGCGCCCGTGTGGGCACGCCCCTCACGAAGATCGTGCCCTATAGGAGGCTCCAACTATGGCCCTTGGATGTGCTTGCGTGGCGTTCCCGCGCCCGTTTCGGCACACCCCTCTCGCGGGTCGTCTCCTCATAGAGATCTTCAGCTATGGCCCCAGTGGAAGAGCTCGCATGGCGCCGCCGCGCTCATCTCGGCACATCCCTCTCGCTCACATAGAGGTCCACCCGTGATCACCTGAAGGTTGTCGCCCTGATCATGATCGTTCCGTGAGGTGCACTGGCTGGATTGGATTGGTCGCGCCCGTTCGGTTGCCGTTTATTATCATCGGCAACCGAGTGCGCAACCAATAGCAGGTCACTTCATTCTGGGCCGCCGAGTGCGTAACCTACGGCACAACCAACAGGCCGTCTTATCCTAGGCCGTA